ATCAATGTTCCTGGCTGGGGCAAGCTGCTGTCACCAGAAGTGCAGGCACTGGTGAGGCGGCTGAAGAAGGGCATCAGGAAACTGCTTGATCCCATGTGGTCCAGTATGGTGCACGTGCTAGCTGCCATGTGTGACCTGAGGGTGAAGGGCAGCATGTGCAGCAGCCAAAGCCTGAATCAGTGGACAGAGGTGCTGGTGAACAGTCAGGGAGGCAGAATGGTGGAGGCAGGGGGACATGGAAGAGGGAAATCCACTGTCCCATGCTAGCATGTCATCCATCAGCCAGTCTTCTCCTCCACCACAGGTGCTGTGAATGTGGTCCAAGGGCATGGCTTCCATGGTGGGGTCCAGAGGCACCAAACCCCATCATCCAGCAGGTAGTGCTCAGGCCTTGGTGGCTGCCTATCTCACCGAGGACATGGAGCAGCTGCTGTGTGATCCCTTGGCCTACTGGGCAAGCTGCAGCCAGATGTGGCCAGATCTGGCCACAGTTACCTGGGAACTCCTGCCCTGCCCACCGACCAGTGCTCTGAGTGAGAGGGTGTTCAGCATTGCTGGGATGTTGTGACACCCCACTGTACCTGCTTGGATCCTGGTTTGGTGGAGCAGCTGGTGTTCCTCAAGGTGAAACTCCTGCTGTTGGAGTTCCCCAAGATCTACGTGTGGATGGAGTGAATGCCACCCTCCTCACTCTGTCCACACCTTTTTTCTTTTTTAAAAAAGCATTTAATGTCCTGCTCTCAGAGCTGGAGGGGATGCTCACTGCATCGCAAGCCAGCAGGGGAAGAACATGTACCTGCTGAGCTTCCATGCCAGGATGAACTTGGAGGTATGGGCTGGGTCTATGGGGAAGGAGAAGACCCCAGGTCCTAGGCATGACCACTAAAGCTGCACTCTGCCAGGATCAGGAGCCCTGGTGGGACTGCTGGTAGCACGGCAGCCCCAATAAATGCCAGGACTGAGGATCCCTCTGGTGAAAGGCAGGTAGAAGGCGCCATGACCTCCAGCCACCACACGCATGCACTTTCCCCATTTCCTGGCTGGGGACAGCCCAGACCCATCATGTCTTTGACAGGCCTGAAGCTTGCTGGTTGCAGTGAAGTTGTGAAGCTCCAGGTAAGCTCAACTTAGCTGCCTGGGATGCCAGCTTTTGGGTTGAAAAACACTTTGTCAGGTTGAGGAAGCACCTGTATTTGGTCTGTGTGTGTGCTGGTCTTGGATGGAAGGAATAGTAAAGAAGCCAGAGGCTGGCCTGGCTGAAAAGTGGTTTGTAAATCCCCTTTGAGGATCAGGCCTGAAAGATTGGAGACAGGTGATGTTCTGTTCTTGTCTTTGATAGATTTCCAGCGTGC